GTCCCTTGCTATGCCAATTTTCAACTCAATTGCTTCCGACGCAGTTGGACATGGGCCATAAAGTTATACGACTGAAGAGTTAAACTGCAGTTGCCAAGTTAGACAGGACTTACGGTTAGCATAGCACCGGCTTCTGACTACTAATGATTTTATTGGAAGATCCAACTACGTCATTGGCATCCAGTGCAGTTTTTAGGGCTTGGAAACCCAATTGTTCAAAGTCAATATTCTAGTTACTTATCTAGTGAGTTGAAACTACATTATTACCATCATGGAGCAAAAATAACCAAAATTCTGACGGAAAATGGTTACAGGAAGGGCCCTTTGCTAACTTTTAAGGTACAACTCATAAAATAAAGGACTCATCTTGAGGCTTGTCGTACAGTTTTAAATACAAATCGTAACCCAGAGTATGAAATACTGATTGAAATTTGCTAACGTGAAGCAGTATGTGTCAATATCATACAGTTTGCCTTATTCAGAATATTTACAGTTGTGCCGCTCTAAAATTACATTGGATGCCTTTAAAAGGAACAGCGGCCAGATACTGATTCACTTAGACATGTCAATCAAGAATCCAATTAACAACTTTCGGTTGATAATATCATCTATTAATCATCAATACAAGAATAATAAATTTTGGCAAACAGTTTGGGGCTATACAAATAAATTCATAACAACACAATTTTCATCTCATTACAATCCATATAGAATCCATATCAAACACTTCCAAACTTTTTAATGCCATATCGATTTTGATTCTTCGTGACAGGTCATACGGAAAAAAGTATCAAAATAGTCAGATGAAATATTTCATCCATATTCAACTTGATGAAAGCAGTGACTCTAGAAAGATGATATGTAAATGAATGTGATTCGTAGGACGACACACATATAGCAAAAGTGACTCGCACCAACCATTGAGTAATTGCATTAGATAGGTATAAAATGAACTGGCAAGACAATTTGCATCTACCAAAACGGTACATTTAAGGACAAGGCTAAGGAAAAAAAACAAAGTCATAGACTTCCTATAATCTGCCCTGTTCCAACAAAAAAAAAGCTGCGACCTAATACGGTAGGGATATATATCTAAAGAAAACAGATTAGTGTATTTTAGAGAGGTGACGTAAAACAATTATCCCTCGGAATCCTACAAGGCCCAAAGCAATTATCTCGGTAAGGACATCCCAATAGAGATGTCTCTCCGTAGAGGTAATCCATACAGCCTCTTCCCTCGTGACCTTGAATGTGCAATTAAAAAGAAAACATGGTGGCAGCTACAGTGGAAATGCTTCAAGGTTCGAAAAGCCGGAAGAAAAACATTAAAGAATACAATGTCATTTTGTATCTGCATGAGCATCTCCATTGTTTATGTAGCTATCCTTTGCATACTGTTACAGACATCACTACGTACATGAAATGGTAGCTGGTAAATGATATATGATTAAGATTAAATGAAGAACCATAGTTGGCATATAATACAAATTAAAGTGTGTGGATGACTTCATTCTTTAATGCTAAAGTGGAAAGGTCGTGAATAAACACATGTCTCCATAGTTTACTTCTGACATCTCTTTAGGGACTTTGGCGACCTGCTGTAATTATCAGCTATTTATACCTTCATGGAAATGTCAACCACTCACCCATGTGTAGAGTTACAAATGTTTATGTAAGCTCGAAGTGAACTTAACATCGGTATGCCGTGTTGGTATGCACATTCCATATATAAAGACGTACGTTGACGTTGTTCGACTGCAGTACTTTTCTCAAGTCGGACTAACTAAATATCAGAAAGGAAACAAAAGGGAACATTTCCCCCACCAGTAGTGCATAATATATATGTATCACTAGAAAGGTAACATTTGCAAGGCAATTGTTACATTTCTATGTTAATTCTTACTCAAACACATTCATATATATGGCGACAGCAGACTAAATCCCTCCTGCTATAATATTGCAACATTATGTAACACATCACTAGTTACCATGGTGACAGACGTCTGGTTCAGGTCATTGATCTTATTTGTTTGGAGAAGAAGAAGATGAAGAAACTGAGCAAAAACAATATGTTTCCCATCGGTAAACGTAGATATGGTCAAAACATCAACTCTATAAACAGCGTCCTTTCCTTTAGAAAGAAGTTAGAGGAAAGTGTTAGTAAGACGATATGCACTGAAAACTTTACATCAATTCATTCCCAAGGGTAGTATCAGGATGCTATCCGCACGAAGACCTCAAGGAGATAGAGGATCACTTTTAGCATTCACAATTCCATTTGATTAATTTAGCGTTGTTATCAAGCAAGAACAGGTGCTGATGACAAGCATGATGTCTACAGCTCATTGAGTTAGTGTTCAACTGTATCTGGCTCGATCAACACCCACATTCATTATCTAAATGTTGATTTCTTTATCAAGTACATCATGTTGACAACGACTAATAACAAAATTTATCTTCTCACTGAAAGATAGCCCATCCCTACTACTGATATTCATCTAGATTGAAACACACCATGCATATATAGTGTGGTTCACTGAGTTATCTGAATTACAGTTTAAGATGAATTTGATTATATTGTATTGTACGATATTGCGCAAGGCACGCTTCTTGATAACATTTATAAACAAACTATGGTCCCTACGTTTCTATGGCGACAAATTACTTGCATGAGTTGACGTATGAGCAATAAGTTTAATGTTGAGAAAGATGTCATTGTGTGTAGGGAAGGGTCGCAACGGGATATGAATTACCAATTTGATGTATTGGTTGCAAGGGTTAATTTAATCTAGTGCCCTTTCTTTCCTTTGGGACAATTCATGGCTACGGTAAATGTATACAACGTCGTATCGGGAGGCCCCGACCCGAAATTACGAGCTGCTATTCTTTATCTAATTTTTCTGGTACTCTTCGTATTAATGGCAGTAAACTTAAGGTTAATGTCGGTGGGCTATTTCTAATGTCTCCAGTCATATTACTGTTCTTGATAATTTGAATATTCCAGCTTTTTTGAGAGAGATATTTTGGAAATTCTAGAGTTGTATTCCAAACTATTGTCTCAAAGCATGATGCTTTTTTTCTTTGTCAATAATACGTTATCCATCCTCGGGTCATAAAAGGGCTAGATGCCATTTATGGCAACTATCATTAGTACTAATTTGCAAAGAGCCATAGAATACTGCACTGAACAATGAAAATAATATATTCTAAATGTTCACACATTACCCGATGCATGTGTGTAGTATTGATTTTGTGAGAATGAAAAACGTGATGTATCATAACTCTGTATACAGTCTGTAAGTTTCTGGCCCTCGAACTACCGGGGACACCGGTGTCTGCCTCGGCGACTGTATGTAGCTCACGTTCCAGCGGACCCCATACCAACCTAATACCACCAGCACAGCGAACCACTTCCATCTAATTCTGACCTGATGGTAGATTGATGGTACACTAGTAATCTCCAGCGCCATCATACATTTATGACCTTTGTGATGTGATTTTCCCAAGTAAGCCTTTATCTCCCACCGTCACACACATTGTGTACCTACTAATGTCGCTTCCTGTATATCTTATTTGTCTCAGAATCAACCACGTACAAATGTATCTTTAAAGACGAGAAACGAATAGCCAGCCTTTTTAGATGGTTGAAAGGAGTGCTCCTGGTAGTGCTGAAATTGCCTATCATCTTCTTATCTTTCTGATTCATACGCCAATTCGGTACCAAATCTTCTGTTCTTGCCATTAATTCCCTCCAGCCTTATACGAGGTGCCTCAGAGGGGTCGTCTAATCCGAGTGGAGGCAATTCCTATTCATCATTATGTGTGTCCTAAGCTTCCTGTCTATCATAGCTGATCTCTTAGTTATCTTTGTAATCTGCAGCGTGCAATACTTTCAAAGGAAACCAAACTTTCTTCACCCTCTTTAAAAATTACTTAGAAACTATTTTCCGCGAGAATTTTTACCTAACTCAATTAACTTTTTTCATTTTCTTTAAAAGAAAACATCACCTCTTTTCATCGATACCAAAAATCCATTAAATCTACTTATTCCCTACACCTAATGTGACTTCAAAACAAGTGTGTGGGTCTTTCATGTCCCCCAGCTATGTAATTGAACGACCATGTTGCCCTATTTTTCTACCCATATTCGATTATACGGCACGGCAGCCTGCACGGCTGCTGAAGCTTCCGATTCCCCCAGTCTAATACCTTGTAGCGTCACTTCGATGATGTGTTCCGGCGATAGTTATTTGCGGGCGCGCCGAATTGCTTTGACAAAGACTTCCTCTGGTACTATTGATGGGGACTCGACTGATCCTGCCTCTCAGCGAGATTTTCTCCTCCCTTTCACCGCTGTAAAATGGCCTTCCTAGATCAAGAGATTTGAGCTTCGTGGTCGAAGATTGATGTTGGGGAGTTCTCCGGGCTTTCAAAGGACCACTCTCTGTGAAAGGAGCAGCATTCCCGCTGTCTATTGAACCAAGGATTGGATTCTGTTCGACACGACTGCCATGATCAGAGCGTTGGCTGCGCATTCACAGCAGCGACTTTTCCCTCAGCAATGTTTCACCCGGAGTAGAGTAATTGAGTATTTTACGAGTACGATATAAGGATAGCTGAACCACCAGTGATCCATATGCAAGCCTACTGCCACGCCAGAATCTAGAATGTCAAAATGTTACGGAGTAGTAACTTCTGTGAAGATAGTTGTACTTATCTAGCACATTTTTGGTAACTCTACCTTTCCTGTGTCCATATTTCCTGTAATGGAGATACTCAACGCACAGGATTTGTGAAATTCTATTGTAACCATTGGCGTCGTGCAGTGTGTCAGAAGAATTCCTGTCGATAAAAAAGAGCGAGTCACGAATGTTCAGCTGCACTAACAACAGATAAAGCTTCTTGAGAAGTGACGTGTGCGTGAAATCTCCCAGCACGCCAGCGAAGTGCCTTGATAACCGTATTTGAACATTTCTGGCGATAAGAGCCCTGCACTAATGCACATGGCATGTGCTGATTCCGCCGGCGTCTGTCGTCATCTGTTGTAGTAAACAGAGTGGCCGCGGAGAGGCGTCGTTTCCTCTCGGTTGTTCGTAGTAAGGCGAGAGTACGTACGGGGAGACCAGGACACGTTTCACCAGACATGGCGGTGGTGTTGCTGATGTTGGCGTCAACTATGGCGTTCTTCCGCACGTGTGCGTCGTCTGCGGACACCATTACGATAGGTGAGTTCTATCGATTTGTTTTAGTGCTGCATTTAGACAGCTCTGTTATCGTCCGCCCATTAAATGTGGATTTTCTCCTGACCGTGAAGGGGTAAGCTGTGCCCCGTAGGGACGCTTAAAGGCTATCGTATAGAGTCGCTTGACTTACTTCTCTTTGACAATATCATTCAACTCCAAACCAACTACTTCTATCATACCGGGGAAGCAGTAGTGACGTCTATTTCACCTTTGATTACGGTTAGTCTTGAGTGACAGGTTGTACAATTTTTGGCATAGGCGCCAAACATCGCGCTCGGTATAAAACATGCATCTAAATACTCCATGTGCAGCCGTATTTTTGGTTGCCTCATAGGAAACTGCTATTTTCTCCTAGATCCTCTCGATCTAAATACCCCCACTTCCTAGGGCACCATCCACACAACCCTCTCTAAAATACAGACGTCCGCAAAATTTGAAAGAGTAGTTATTAGCGGCGAGCTAGCGATTCCTAAACAAGGCCTGCACACGATCCCACTACAGCTGTAAGACTAGTGTAAACCATTTTGGGAAAAGAATCTGGCTTTGGTCCTCTTGTTTATATGCACCATAGCAGGACCTTTCGTCCCATTCTGTGATAAAAAAGAGGAGGGGGGGTTGAGTGTTTGGTAGATGAAACTATGTACAGGTCACTACTCCAGTAGGAAAAGACATCCCAAACGCTAGCCAAAGAAAAGAAGCAGTAGGACCAACCCCAGTTATTTTTACAATCTGATTTCCCGAATAATGCTTCCATGACAAAATGAAATCTCGATACCACGCCGTTATATTGATGTACGCATGGGTCCATTACACCATAACAATAATCTAACACTAACGTCCTTCCCATATATGGTGCGGCAATATTTTGTTCTCTCATCTAACGGACGTTCTTTATCTTAAAGGTGGTATTATATGTGAAACTATATCGTATTGAACGACGTAGGTGTTGTATTAAACAAGACAGATGCTTGGTGTTGTTCTCGACTTCATAAGTGCCATTCTGCTATCGAATTTCCCTTAGAGGACGCCACTGGTTTGTACTTCACCCTCCACTAGCACCCTCTACCTCTGTCGGGATGTTAATGTTGATTGAAGAATAGAGACCCTCAGCGCAAATGAAATTTTCCGACTAAATCGAAGATACTGAGCAGAAGCTATTTATCAGCCATTGGAGATAACCATTATGGAGGCACAAGCACCCCCTTTATTACTGGAAACAACGCAGGGTTTCCATTACGTCTAAAACAAATCTTGTTGGCACGTTTTGCAGGAGGCTTGCTGCAGAGGAACGAGTCCCAGCGGGAGGACCTGGCGGTTCGGTACGCAATCAGCAACATTAACTCCATCAAAAGTCTTCTCCCCAACACCAAGCTTATCTCCAACACACAGCAGGTTTCCAGCTCCAACAGTTTCACTGCAGCAACACAAGGTACGCTTGCTTTAATAATATCTTCGCTTAGATGGCAACAAGAGTTTCAGAATCTATAAATAAGATGTACTAAGAGTGCGCCTTGCACCAAAGGTTTTGGTTAATGACGGAAACGTCAGGTTGAAGGACTGCCGGTCTGAAGTAGCCACCGGATAAGTCGAGTATTGACAGCCTGTTCCTCACGGACGGAGTAATCTGCCTAAAAGTCTCGTGTTTCATCCTGACAGCGTCCTTTGACTCCACCTGTGATGTACGCGGACGTCAAAACGGTCAGGAAGGAGCTTAATCATCCCCGCCATGTGGCAGATGGAATCGGGTTTCCTGCTGTGTGTGTGAACGGCTGGATAGGCTATTCTTACCGACTCAGATATTCACCTGCGTAGCCAGGGAAAATGATAGTCAACATATTTTCTCGCCTTCACAACGTGGCGTATTCTAAAGAACAATAGGCGATATGTTTTATCCCAAAGAAATTAATTAACTGGAATAGCTATGATACCAACCATACGTCAGCTGTTATTTGACATTACTCTTTTCTGGATCAGAATCAAAATAATGTGACACCAAACTAGGAAACTTTAAGTTTAATGTCATGTATGGTACACCTGTTTTTGTTTATTGCAAGTAATAGCTTTGCCAGGTTCGTAAGTCAATTCAACATAATTTCCATCGGTACTTAACCATTTTTCTCCACTAGTTCTGCTGCTTCTATTGCGGTAGAAAGCACATCACGGTGAAGGCAAAAGAGCATCTTTAAAACATGAAATTTCAAAACACAAGGTGTATCTATTACGAAAGTACATGTGTATTGAATTTACGCACTTGTTGTGTGACTATCTGACCATCCTTCTGGTGTTCCCGCCACCCCCCTCCCCATTCATCGCAGTCTGCCCCGGGGACCTGATTGATTCTGCCAGAACATGATTACATTAACCTTCGTTCATATCTGCTGTCAAATTAATACAAATGAGTCGTGAGCAGATAGAAGGTATTGATAGCGGCACTAAATGCTAAGGGCAGGTGGGCAGATCCTTCAGCCGTGCCTGGAGAGAAGCTCGCGGCATTAGCTCCGCTACGGGACATAAATAGGGTCAATTGCCTCCGGAGCATCTTGTGCGAGCTGTTCTCTGATGAGTTCAGATATCCAATGTCAAACTCACGTCAGTAAGACGGCTACCGCAGAGACCTACCATCTGTTGTCCGGGAACAAATGTCTACATCAGGCGGGAGAAGTTTGCAAATACACTTTTCTTATACCTAGCCTGACCTAAACATGCTTCCAGCAGTCCTTCTACTAGCCAGGTCCCTAGAATCTCTATGTCAGGTGAATTTCGAACACTCTAATATTGTCGTTTTATGTATTTGTGCTAGCATAGACCAATCATTGTCAAACTGAAAACTTTCAATGCTGTGCCTGTGATGATACTTCTCTATAGTAACAGTCAATTCGGAACTCATATAGTTACTGTATCTCTATTATATTATATTGTAAAAGAGAATAATGATCTACCGTTCGTAATTATATAACTTGTCATTTGCAAACCGGTCTCCAGTCTAAGTAGTGAACGACTTCAGGGGCTACAGAGGCAGTTTTAAACCTCCAAATCTTTATTCAACTGAGACAATGCACCTAAAACTGAATAGATACACATTGCTATAAGTAAAACTCAATAAGACAGACTGCACCCATAGACGATACATTTTGTTAGCTTATCCTTGAAACAATTAAACGCAGACGGACCAGTTAATTTCCTCCGCCTTTAAATTGCACATAAATGTGGATTACGATAACACAAAACACCATTAATCACATCCATGCATTCCTTCAAACACTACTCATGTCTAGAAATAGATGGTAACGATGTTTTCAGGCAAGCTCTTTTTCAGTACCTTTACATATCTAGTAACTTACTGGTAGGTAGAAGCGGGTATTATTGTTCTCTTATTTTCTGATTTTATATTTGACGAAAATGTTCTTAATTTTGAATATGTAATTTCAGATGACCTTTAGTGGCATTAGAATAAAATTATTAGTGTCTATTATGTATATGATAACAGCCCGCTAGTAAAGTGCTTAATATGAAGAGCAAACTATTTTGACATTTGGCGAATTACCTTTATAGGTTCAATCCCAGTGTTAGTTAAGTTCCATGCAACAACCTACAGAATTCTGATGTCTTCCTTTCAAAGAATGGCGCAATCATTAGTTTCATGCACATGTAATTCATAGTATTGGTTTTCCCCAAATGCAGGCCATTTGTAGCTTATTTGAATTTATATTGTTTATCAAAATGTAGGCTAATGTCATTTTCAAAAGCAGCCATATCTTTATCGATTTCCAATACTCTACTTATCGCCGGGGATATAATTAAATGTGGAAACAATCACATATCTGTCAAAGCTAATGAGAATGGTAAAGATTTATTTTGTTTTACTATATAGGTAGCAGCGCTTTGGAGGTTTATTGGGCCTCTGGTAGTTCTAATGGTTTAATCTCTGAACTAGTTTCCAGGTAAACTTAAAGATGTTTGTTATATTTTTCATTAATTATGCTTATAAAGCTGTTATAGTGCAGTAAGACAATGCCATACATTATGGCCAACTGTAGACTTCTGAAAGCATTCGATATCATTCGTTATTCAAATACGGCACCCATTTTGGCATTCGTCGCAGTGAGGTTAGTAATTGATTGATTGATTAATTGCGAATGGATCTATTCGATACCTCAAATGTCGACAGGGAACAGACTTTCAGGCGGCATTTAGGAAGTAATCAGTTTACCAAACTACTTCCCACATACTCTTGATTGCATCACTATGACTCATTGATTGGATTACGTTATGAGTTCAAATCCATCGAGGTAGGGTCGTTAACACCACAGCGATTTCTGTTCACTCATGACAGGCAGATTTTATCATAACTATAGAAATGAAAAACATGTCGGAAATATGCGTACTCCATAGTTAAAGCAGGTTAAAGACAAGAGAGCTAATGGGCCATTGATAACGATGTTAGTATGTGGTTGTTTCTTTTGCAAGAATATGAAGGTTAACTGACATCTGGTTACGACTTGCTAATGATCAATTAGATGCAATTTATAAAAAATGACATTTTAAATTGCAAAGACCCAAAAAGATATCATGCAATATTAGACATTGCAATGTGTCATTTCTTTGGACATGACCTTTATGGACTTCAAATCACACTCAAACTTTTACGGCCAGGCTATCTGTGTGTTGGTCACGTCTGCATGTGGTAACAGATTAACCTCTACGGGACAATCTAGCTTAATGAGGTTAATACTGAGCAAAATACCCTCGGGATCCAGTAACGGAAATGAGTATTCCTGTCAGGTGGAAATGTTGGGAGTGTTTTGGTAGAGCTAAGTATGAGACAAGCATTTATTTTAACATTGGCAATACTTTTATTATGTTGTCTAAGGACTCAAAATTGGGCAAGAAGTGGAGGGGGGGTCATGTTAGCATAGTTTGCTTTATATACCAGCTGTATCTTTGGCAAGTGTGATATTTATTTTGCGCTGACCTAACTATATCGGTTTCTGACGATTGCTGAAGATTGATTGATTGATTGATTGATTGATTAACTATATTACAATGTTCTGAAAATGCATCTGTACATGTTTTCATTATTACTATAGTATGCGTTGACATGAAGTACTGAAAGTATGCAATTAATACACATAATAAAAAAATATACCACTACATTACATCTTCTTGAAATCGATTCTGAATTGTGGTATGAATTAACATAATTACTATAGGATATGAACATGCCTTGTTTTTTATATGTGCTAAAATTATTACGAAGTCAGTGAGGCCCGTATTTATTCAAGATCTCTTTATGCGCTATGCCTCGAGATTCTTACACAGTGACTGCTCAAAATAGACCCAGAAATTCCTGCACTTAAGAGAGCTGGTGTCAAAAATGAATCCCCGCCTGACTATGAAACGTGAACTGCTGACCACGAATTGTTGTTCCACTCAAACAGTGGGTACCACATATCTGACTTGGTGCCAGAAACCGACGGCATGAGCATACATGTTGCAATACACAGAGTAAGAGGTACTACATGTACTTACTATGAGCCACATGACTATTTTGGCCGTGTTCGCGAATTCTCCATCCCCTTTACGAAAGAAAATATACTAGTACATCATTTTACTGACATACTAAGAATATTCAGGTTCCTTTTTAAACGAACAGGTAACTATTTACTACTTCACTTAATGCAAGATTTTGAAAGATCATTTGTTCTTTATATTTGCTGTGTTTAAATTCAGTATTCCACTGTCGTCCACTGCTCCCGTTTGTTATAAACTTATGCTAGACAGATTTTGAGTCAGTTGAGGCTTATAAGAAAATGGCACTGCAGGGATAATTTTAGCTGCCAGTCTTGCACAGCCACTGCAATACTTTTTTCCAAATAATTTTTGTTATAAGTAAATGAATTCAGTAAAATGTCCAAAACAATACACTGTACTAGATATTAGAAATCTTATTCAAGTATAAGAAGTTTAAGGCAGGTGTCCGATTTTTAACGGCAACCAAATTACAAATTTTACAAGCCATTACAAATCGGATGACACCCAGGCTATCTTTGCTAACCTTGCACGTGCAGAAAACTACTGTCTGTACATAGTTCAGGTCTACCTTTATCGGCTTGTGAATTGTTGGACTGAACGTGAAGAGCGATCGAAGCCCGGAAATACCAGAGGAATATTGATCCTTGACCCCAAAACCTTACGTAAGGTTAAGGGAAGTCACCAAAATAATGGATTTTTCTCAGTTCGTGCAGCCACGGTGTCTGGTATTTTCAATACTATTCCTATTTTGAACAACTTCTTTTTTTCCTTATTTTTAGACAAGAACTTAACCAGCAAAATAGTTATTGTAATGCGACAACTTTGCCTGAACCAGGACTTTGTTTAGAGTCAATGTGACACTATGTTACAATGGCCCTTGCAAAGAGTTTTACCTTG